GTGTGTGTGTGTGTGTGTGTGTGTGTGTGTGTGTGTGTGTGAGTGTGCCTGTGTGTTTGTGTGTGTGAAAGCATGTGGATGCTTTGTATCAATGGCAAGGTTTTTATCAAATCGAATTCTATCTCCTAAGGATGGTGATACCAATGTTGCCAGTGTTCAAAGTAATCATTCAGATTGGAGTAATATTTTTTTTTTCACGTTTTACTCTATTTTCCATTCCTTTCCAGTCAAACCCAGTAAGATAAATGCTATTTCAGGGGATATGGTATCTACAAAATTTTCCATTTGGATGTGTTTGCATTTGCTAAGTACAAATCTACACCAATGTTGTCACTTGTATATTGTACCAACATATGGCAGGAAAGCCTGGCTGGTCACATCAAGTGATTATTTCTCATCTTAGGATAAGAGTTGCCAACTATGTGATATGACTTGAAAAACAGACAAATCTGCATCACTAAAAAATGCTTATGTTTCTTTAAGACATTTCAAATAAATAATTCATAGGAACTAAAACCACACAGCCAAGCTGAATACTTTGCTGATTGCTATATTTAATTATTGCTAACAAATTCTGAGCAGGCTGTTTTCCAGTGTCTGTGCTTCTGTGAGTGCGGATTCCCCACCAGTGGGCGCCATTTATCTTCTTATTCCTTCCACGCAGCTCACCTTACTGCAAATTCAATTATAAATACAAAAACCAGTGGAAGAGGGGGAAAAAGAAGTGTGCAATAAAAATCAAACTCGAACCATAGTGCAGTCCTTAGACAAGGATTTCTTTCACACTTTTTTTGTTTTCTCATTTTAACCCAGCAAGATAGATGATTTGAGAATAGCATTTCTATTTAAGTCCTATTAGAAAATAAATTAATAAACACACTTGTAAAAATATGGCAGACTTCAAAATGCAGTTAAAAGATAAAAAACTCTTTGATTAGTAATAAATAAAATATAAAAATGTCACATTTATTTTACATATACTTTACAAAAGAAAGAGTGCAATGAAGAAATAAAAGAAAAACATATGAAAATAAATAAGATCTAATCATTGACTGCATTGCTTTTAATCCAAAGAGTCTATCATAGTTTTTCTTTCCTTTTTATGTCAGCTGGGGAAAAATTAGTGCAATGTTGCAGTTGTAAATGCATATGGCAACCTCCAAGCCTTAGCAGTACATGAACCCCTTTCACAGGTCCATCTGGAGTTGACTGCTGTTGGTGATCTCTGTTGCCCGGCAGCACTGTGATCCTACACATGGATACCCTTCACTGCCTGTTTGATACTTTCCAGGAGAGCTTTGCATTCCGGGGAATAGTCCCGTTCCAGATTGCTGTACATGTCTGTGAGTGTATTTACATATGCTTCAAAATTCTGCTCACTGATAGGTCCCTAAGTGGAGACAAACATATTGAACCAATCACTGTGAGGCAATAGAAAGATCAAGTAACAAGAAAGACGGTGAGTGACTTAGGATCTGGGAGGGAAGGCAAGGATTCACCTAGTTACTGGAGTTTGGGAAAATGGAGAGATCTGAGTGTGTATTGGGACTTATTTGTTTCCTCTTTATGGGAATACAGAAACGTGATTGTTTGAAACATTATTGTAGGTCAGTTTGGAGCCAATTAAGGTGCACTGCTGAGCTGAACTCAAAACTGGGTGATTTCTTTAGGGAGGAGCCGTGGCCTCAATGGAACTTGTGCAGCACAAGGACGCTTCTCCTTGAGGGAGGTGGATGTTTGAGGTTGGGAGGGCAGGTTTGCTTGCGCCAGTAGGCTCTTTTAACAGAGATTAAGATCTGAGCAAACTGCTTACCAACCAGTTGGGATGGAAAATATTTCTACTTTCTCCTCAGATGCCCTTTGTGTCCATTTTTCTTTTGCAGCAACATTGCAATATATTTTATTATCTCTCTGTTTCTTCAGGTAGAATACCAGTTTCACAAAGTTGAAATTCATTCACCTTTATCCTATTTGGTGTTTCCTTTGTCCAATGTGAAGCTTCAAAGAGTAAACACTGACTAGATCTAAATGGCATGCATGAGTGACAGGAGGTTTATGGCACAAAGGAAATCCAACTCAGCCCCTGCTGGTGCCTCGATTTCCCCCTTTTGAAAGACCCATGCATGACATACACCTTACTTCAGAAAGTGCTTGGAAGAAAGTACTCTTAAAGGTCTAAGTACTATAGATGTATGATATTGTTGTCGTTGTTGCTATTTAAAGGCAAGCTTTCTAAATTTGAAGAGTATTTGTTCATATTCAGCAAAGTACTGCTCTAGATTACTAATATTGTCTAGTCATAATTTTTGGCTCTCTCTTAGTTTCTGCCTTTTCTGTGCCATTCTCTTAACAAAAGGTTCTGGGTGGCAGAGCAGATAAAGGTTCTAGCATGAAGCCAGACCCACCTGATTCATGCTGGCTTTGGAACCTTGATCAAATAATGGAAGAGTCCCTCAACTACAGAAAGGGAATGTCAATGGCAGTCCTTAGGGCTCTTGTCAACATTTCATGTGATCATATTAAAGAATTACCAGTGGAGTACTTTGTATAGTGATTATCAAAGGTATCAGTTATCTTGTATGATGTCTATCTTTTTTATGGCACTGGCCGAAGAAAACAAAATTTAAATTTTAGAAGGGCAAAATTTAGAAGAGCAAAATTTTACCATTCTAAACTTTAAAGTATGAAGTAGATAAATGTTGATAAATAACATTAAAATGATATCCAGTAATTATACGAATAGTAGCTATAAAAATAAAAATAAATTTCCTTTGGACTATTGTATTATTGATTTTTTAGGTCAAGAAACACACTGGAATTAAAATGAAGGCTCCATTCTAGAAATCTGAGTAAATTGAGGCATTTGTTTTGTTTTAAGCAAAACCAACTATATTTCTTAATTATATTGTTGCATCTTTAAACCATTTTATATACAAAATTAGAAATTTTAGAAAACTTATTCTAGGAATGTAAGTTTGGAAGAAATTTAAAATATTCAACAATACATCTCCTCCTTCAAATATTTATTTATATTTATAAAAATGTAAAATAAACTTTTTTTTAATGAATTCTAATAGTTGCATACTTAAAAATACATGTTTAGATTTTGGAAGTAAGAATGCTTTGCTTACTTCTGTTTTTATGCTGTCTGAGAACTGAATTATGTTCTGCATACTTCTGTATGAAACAAGTTTATTGAGAACTTAACTTTTTGAAATAATTCTTGAGTTGGGCAGATAATGCAAAGTCTGGGTCTCAGACTTTGTAAGACATGAAATTTTACACTTGGAAATATATTTCAGTGAAGATGTTTTGTCCTCTAACTTTCATATTATATTATAAAACAAGCTTTGAATAAACCTTCATCTTTAGATGAACTTGGTCTTTAAGAATATCCTTAGCCTTCCTATAATTTAAATCTACCTATCTACCATCTTTCCATCAAGGGAGATTACTGGTAG